GGAGTTCTAAGAGTTTGTAAGAAAAGAGCTAGCCAACAAATTAAAGAGTATGAGCTCAAGCTTTCTGGAGTAAAGGTTTGATACTCTTGTTATTTTCCATTTTCTTGCATAGAAATTGTGTTTAATACAAGTATGTGTTGCAGCGAGACAATATATGCTTCATGTTGAGTGGCGAGGACTGGTAATGGTCGAGAAACAGGAGAACAGGTATTGAATAAATGAAGTGAAATACTGAGTTTATGTTGAAACAAGGTTTGCTTGGAAATTTACCCAGTAACTTATCTTGATTTGACCCCATTAATGATTGAAATAGAAAGTGTCATAGAAGATTATTTGTTCCTCTATGTGTTAGCTTTTACAATGGTTTTTGAATCATCCAAATTGGAGTTGTATATTGAGAGATATTGACCAAAAGAAGTACAGACAGTACAGGCTGAAAGCGCGCGCACGCGAATTGCATGACGAGTTCCGTTGCCTTCTCGCAGCTCCGCGAATTTGAAACTATGCGCTCGCACTTTCACCTGAAACTTCTCTGACTCTTCATTTGCCACATCTCGCGCTCGCGACTTGTGCACGCCAAAACTCTCTGACTCTCCATTTTGCACATCTCGCTGCTCGCGAACTTATTAGTCTGTCTTCGCCATTACTTGCCCTTCCTATATCGCTTACGACCTATTCACTCGCCGCAGCTCTCATGCGTATATGTGTCCTTGGGTAACTCTTACTGTCTCGTGTGATTTGGCACTCCATCTCTGCACCTCAAGCGAAATTAGTTACGCACGCTCGCGACTCTGTGACTTGATAACTCACTGTCTTCACTGTGTGAATACCACTGCGAGCTTCGACACAAGCAGAGCGCGTTTTGCTGACGTTGTTGTTTTTCATGCATTTTACTCTTTTCAATTGTCAATGTATTCCTTTGCTTTTCAACTTATATGCCTTTCCAATCATTTTTAACATTCTCTCTCTCAAGCAACAATATTACAGAACATGTATTCAAAAACAACATTTTCCAAAGCATGCAAATGATTGATTATACATAATAATACATTACAATTGATAAATATGAAGTCTATGAACTTTATTAATATGATGTTGGTTATTATTATGGATCATCCATTCATTATGCTCCATGAAGTAGGTAGAAACCTAGTTATGATTAATGGCTTATGTCGCGACATAGTTTTGATTAGCAGCAAATCTCGGCAACCTTCATACAAGTTTTATTGAATAACTTATACTTCACGGCTAATGCCGTTTGAAGTGGTATATGATTATAATGGGACTCATAGCATTGCTCAAGTCCATCACAGTATTTCATCCATGTTCATTTACAGTTTCTATCACTTCAGGTTTAGTTCACTTATTGCAACCTCGTATTAGATCCATATCCGCATATCTCTTTTGACAAACATTTCTATCATGAAATTATTATACGCCCCTTATTATAAATACAGATAATTCAAAAAGATATAATCAAGGTTATCATGAAAGTATTTCATGACGTGTGTGCTTCTTAGTGTTATCTAGCATGTGTGTGCGTGTTTTATACATTATATGTTGCTTAAGTTTCTTTATCTGTTAGATTATTCCACTGAGCTTTATATATTTGCTCTATGCGATTGTTACTCGTAATCTCCGCATGTGGTTTTGAGATTGGTACCATACAGAGAAGGTCCCAGCTTATAACTGCTGCCAGTTCTATCGTTAGACTCAAGACTCATGTTTTCTTCAGTTGGTAGTCTAATCATTCTTAATATGTTATTCTTTGTCTATCCTTTTATGGTATGTTACAGTGGCACTCACGTTGGGCCCATATTCATTTTGACCTATCTAGCTAATCCATTGTTGTAAAATAAATTTTAACATTAATTTTTGTTTTAATTTATTACAATATCAGCATTCTGCTATCTAATTCAAACAATTTTACATTATGATTTCTTTCAGCCTGTCAGGCTTCTACTTACAGCAACCAAGTTTGTAACGTCTTCGACTTCTGTAACAGGTGTGTGTGATTCTGGTTCCTTTGTTTTACGGATCCTGGGGTCATGCATGATTACATTGCATAAAATTATATATATTTAGGTCACAATATAGTATCATATATTTAGAACTTAAATTTTTATTTTGATTAACTTGAATTAATTACAATTTTCAAAAATCCACTATTTGTAATATTTTGTACTTTACATCGGAGACTTAGATATAATTACCATTGAGCCAACATCTTTCGTTAAAACTGGGTGATGATCTTTTCAAACTAAAAAAACTTATCTTTCTTAATGTGAAGAATGTAAGCCATCCACATTAGTTGAAACATTTTTTTTGAATTTCCAAACTTCTAAATAATTATTAGAGTGTGAGTGCTTGATTTCAAAGAGAGATTTGTTTATTGATTATTATTGCCATTTGTGCTCTTATATCAAGGTCTCTATACTGTTTGCTTTATGATTAGTGTAGCATTTATATTTCAACATTTTTTTTAAATTTGATATCTTTCTAAAAAGACGAAAATTATTTACTATGTCAAAATATAAAATAACGACCATATCTAATATACTTATGAATATATTATAGATTGAATGCTATCAGACACCCATGTGCACGGATTAGAAGGAATTCGCAATTATAATTATCAGATTTTTTTCTTTAACTTTTACTCCCTTTTAACTTCTTCGAAATTTCTATAAAAAAAAAATCCTTTTAAAATTTGTCATTACTCCTAACTTTAAATATTCTGGTTCCGCCGCTTATTATTCAAAACAACATTTGCTATGTCCTCCTACGAAAGTGGAACTCTATCTTATTTACATCTTAATCATAAGCAGTGATTTATGAAAATTGGAAACTATCGTGATTACAAATTGTTGATAACTATACTATTAATAAAAGTCTTTTTTAATCATTGCCCTAAAGAATATAGTCATGAAATAAAACAAAATGCAATCATTGGATCCAAATTTGTTTTGAGTAGATAAGAAATCTTGGAATATAATAATTTTTTAACATAGAAAATGTAGAAGAAAAGAAAAAATAAACTATCTACAATTAATTAATGGCTCTCAGAAAAATAATATTTAGTGTATGAACATGACATGGCATGCACAATTGTGGCTCCACACGAAAGTGGATTTCCATTCTCTTAGTTTTTAATGAGCTTGGACATCGCGTGGAATCTATGGCTTCCACACGAAAGTGGCCCAAGTGTCCTTACTTAAAAATGCTAAGTAGAAAAAACCTTATGAAAATCCACATAAATACATTTACAAATTCAATCTTCATCTTGTCATTAATAACTAAATATGTATTATTTTTTAATGAACTCCACAACCCAGGGTCAAATTAAAATTTTATCTATCTGCGCGAATATATCGAATCATACTAATGGATCCGAAGATCATACTACTTGAATCAAATTTCTTGAAGGAAGATTAATTCTAGGTTTTCCCTTAATTGAGGTGGGTAGATTTAGATCCAAACCCTAAACATCCACGGTCACCACACTTCCTTGGTGGCAAATATTATGATGCGATGGGACAAGCTCAGACCCGTGGTTCCATTAACATTCCGCTTTGACTCTTCATTGTCCTGTCTCGCTCATTTCTCAGTGTTAATCTTAACAGAATAATATTAACTTCGGTTTGTGGTAATGGATGGTTCTTAAAGGCAAATAAGTTAGGATAAGGTGAATCCATAAACGATGGTGATGATTAATGTTTGGGGGGCGTGTATTCTTTGGGGATGGCCAAAGATGGTAGACAACTATACAAAGATATAAAGCCACAATGGTAGCCACGCTTACTAGGCAGGGTGGTTATGTGCTCGAGTAGTAATTAGTGGAGATGGTAAGGCAGTGGCGGAGAGGTATAATTTGCGTAATGTAATTGCTATATAAGGTATTGGCATGTATGCAACAAATGATGAATATGATTATAGATGTACTTGATATAAGAGATAAAATAAAACCTAAACTTAAATCAAACATGTCCTTCAACGGGGTATCATTTTACTTATTTTTTTTTTTTAGGTAGTTATTGCAGGTATTCATTTTGAAAGATTGCTTTCTTGAAGGGAGTCGTTCCATTTAACCAGGCCCATGGAATTGGGTGGAGGTGAATTTGAAAAATATCATGCACAGATCCAAGATTTCAGTAAGGGTATTTCTTACATGGGAATGATCTATTACCATATTCTCACCGTTACCATGGAAGAAAAATTCTTGGAAAGGTCTGGAATTTAACCCTACCAAAGGCTTTGAGTGGTTTCCCATCACATCTTTGGTGTTGCATAGTGGCGTGCGTGGAACTGAGAGCATGTAAGCTTACACAAATGATCGTCTTCCTCAAAAATTTACCCTCGACTAACAGGGTGGTAAATTAACCATTTTCGAACTTTGCCCATGTTATTGAGGGTGCCCCCGTCTTAATCCCTGTAATTCACTCCCGTCCTCCTATAATGTAAATTGTACATATCTATGAATTAATAATATTATAAATATAGTTTAAGATGCGAATAACTTGGGTGATATAACTCGCGGATAAATTTCATTTATCCAACAAATATAATCTATATTATGTTGGAAAAATATTCTAAAAATCGCAATATTAATTTTTACCGCTCTCGTTTCAAACTTTGTATTTCCATTGATGAAATTTATGAAAAGGAGCGTATAGCACTAAGAAGAATATAATAAATTAAAACTAATTCAGCAAATGAAATGGAAACTTAAATGTGCATTAATCAATTTCCATTTTATCAAAAACCTATAGTATATAACGTTATACCTTTTTGTAACTATTGAAAGCTGAAACGACTTGTCTTTCTTTCTTTTCTTTTCTTTTTTTCCTTCAAAAAGTTGTTAATCTAAATCTGTGATCCATTTCTCTCAAAAAGTTGCTAATCATATGATTCTCCTCTTCTCAGTTAATTACTCACCAACTCTTATTAAGAGAGAGCTGGTTCGGGCGTGGCTGTATACGGCAATAAATTTTTTTAAGTAGCTTTAAACTTCCATTTAACAAGGCCCATGGAATGGATGAATTTGAATATCATGGCACAGATCCAAGATTCAGTAAGGTTTTCAACATGGGAATGTCTAACCATTCCACCGTTACCATGAAGAAAATTCTTGAAACCTACAAAGGCTTTGAGGGCCTCACATCTTTGGTGGATGTGGGTGGTGGAACTGGAGCTGTAATTAACATGATCGTCTCCAAATACCCTTCGCTAAAGGGTATTAACTTCGATTTGCCCCATGTTATTGAGGGTGCCCCGTCTTATCCCGGTATTCACTCCCGTCTCTATAATGCTATGCACTTCTATTTGATTATATATAATTTGTTTAGATGAGAGGTTGGAAATTAGTATTTGTTAGCTTGTTAGAGATTTTTTTTTTTCTAACTAGAAGGTATAATCCACTCAGACCGTAGAGCACAAAGGTCTATTGCCCTCTTAGCAAAGTGCGTTTCTCTAGTATCGAAACTTGTATTTTTACCTTTATGGAGGGTTGAGATCGCTTCTTAGATATGTTTAATTATGAGATTTTATTGATTTTGATATTGAGCTGGACCTTTATTGCAGGTGTGGAGCATGATAGCGGAGACATGTTTGTTAGTGTTCCTAAAGCAGATGCCATTTTCGTGAAGGTAAGTTAGATATCTAATTTCCTTGGCAATGGCTAATCTCGAGGAAAAAGAAACATCCAATCCATTTTGATTGTGTCTATGCTTGGGCAGTCGGTATGCCACAATTGGAGCGACGAACATTGCTTAAAATTTTTGAAGAATTTTTGCGATGCTTTACCCGTAAACGGAAAAGTAATTGTGGCCGATTATGTTCTTCCGGTAGCCCCCGACACAAGCCTTGCCACCAAGGGAGTCATCCACATGGACTGTATAATGTTGGCTCTCCAGTCAGGTGGGAAAGAGAGAACTGAAAATGAATTTGAGGCATTAGCTAAAGGAGCTGGGTTTACGGGTTTTCAAGTAACCTGTTCTGCTTTTAATACCTGCGTTATGGAATTTATCAAGAAGGCCTAGGATGGATGCACATGAGGAGTAGAAATTTACACTTAAAATTATAATATTATATAATATTAAAAATAAAATTTTGAAATTTTAAAGGGGCTAGGCCCCATGTCGACCCCTATCAGCCCCCTTTATCTTTCTATGCCTAAATATTATATACTTTTTTTTTTTAAGTTGAATAACTTTGTTTCAAGTTATGTAATTCTACCTTTAAAAACAAATAATTTGATCATATGTTACTTATAGCATTTTATATCAAATAAACTACAAAATATTTATAATTTTCTCTCTTCATTGTATTTTTTTGAATTCCCTAATTATTCATGCCGTCTCTAAAATGTGTACACTTGGCGTTAGTTCTACTATAGATACTTACTCATACACCCAATTAGAAAAAACTCTAAAATGTTTGGAAGCATTAATGTTTCAATCAATATTATAGTATCTTAAATGCATAAGTTTAGGTAAATTAAGCAGTTGATAAATTACAAAACAAGTTATAGATATAATTCACAATTTTTTTCTCAAGGACAAAAATTATAATTTGTTAGTAAATTTTATCTATACTTAATGTATACACCCAATAAATATACTAAGATTATCCAAGTTTCGAAACCTTTTACTTTAGTGTTTGATCAGAAAACTTTTGATAAATATGTGAACCATTGAAAATTTTTCAATCATGTTTTAATTTCTAGTGCATGTGACAGGCTGAAAATCCAAACAGGACCTATATACATGGGCCATGACACATTATAATGCATAATGACATAAGCAAAATATGTTGAGATGGCTAAAATAGATGTAGCATGCTGACTCGAATTATTTAAGAAATGACTATATTACTCAATGTTAATCAGACCGAACCTCATTTGTGCCTAGGGAGAGAGCAAAAGCTTTGCTTAATCAAGATGGAAAACAGCGTATGCAAGTGTGGAAGACGATGCTTGATTCGATTTAAGAACTAATTTTAGACAAAAGAAGAAAAAGAAAAACAGTACTGAAGCAAATTAGAACTGATCTTTACTTTTGGATTTTGATAAAACAAAAAGAGGGTGAGAGTTTTTTTCTCTTATCAAGAATCCATTTCACGATAACTTTCCTTTTATGCACTAGTTATGTCTATAGACAAAGTTTACCATGAGCAAACTCTCTGTTGTTGGAAGCATAGATACTGTCAAATTGTATAATTTGAGGCATATTTTGAATGAATCGTATTGATTGATTATTCTGTTGCTTTACACTGTTAATATAGCAAAGGTACATGATTATACAAGGTAAGAAATAAAAGATGATTATTTTCCTCCTATAGTCATTCCCTAATTATGTGCATTAATTGGGAAATGATGGGAAATCTGATCCCACATTTTCCTCTTATTTCCTTTCTTGCTGACACTCCCCCTAAAGTTGAGTAGTGGGATTGCGAATGCTCAACTTGCCTAAAACTTCACCAAAGATTCTTTTGTTCACTGCCTTTGTTAATATATCTGCCAGTTGATCTTCAGAGCGTACAAAGGTTAGCTCTACACTGCCTGCATCTAACTTCTCTTTTATGAAGTGCTTGTCAACTTCCACTTGTTTTGTCTGGTCATGCTGTACCAGATTTTCTAAAATACTGATCACTGCCTGATTATCACACATTATCTTGCAAGCTTCAGATGGTGGGAACCCAATTTCAATTAACAATTTTCGCAACCACAATATTTCAGTCAAACCTCGTGCCACTCCTCGAAATTCAGCCTCTGCACTGGATAAAGCTACAACTTTTTACTTTTTGCTTCTCCATGTGACTAAGTTACCTCCCACAAAAGTAAAATATCCTGATGTGGACCTTCGGTCCACTGGATTGCCTACCCAATCAGCATCAATATACCTCTGTATTTCTAGGTGTTCGTGCACTTTGAACAGAACACCATGTCCAGATGTCCCTTTTAGATACCTTACAATCCTCCATACAGCATCCTTATGGTCTATCTGAGGTTGATGCATGAACTGGCTTACCACTCTGACTGCATAAGCTATATCTGGAAGAGTATGTGAGAGATATATCAATTTTCCAACCAACCTTTGATACTTCTCCTTATTTGCTAGTTTTGCTCCTACTATCTTCAGCCCATGATTTACCACCATTGGTGTGTCAGCCGGTTTACAATCGATCATTCCCGTTTCTGCCAACAAATATAGAATGTATTTCTTTTGACATATAAAAATCCCCCTTTTTGATCTCAGAACCTCAATTCCGAGAAAATACTTCAGTCTTCCCAGGTCTTTCATTTCAAATTCTGTGAACGGGTTATCCCTTAGCTTGGTCATTTCTTCCATATCATCTCCTGTAATGATCATGTCGTCAACATAAATGATCAAGCAGGTTACAAGTTTACCTCTCCGCTTTAGGATGCATAAGCTATTATCTGGCAAGAGTATGTGAGAGATATTATCAATTTTCCAACAACCTTTGTACTATCTCCTTTAATTTGCTAGTTTGCTCCTACTATCTTCAGCCATTCATTTTACCACATTGGCTGTAGTCAGCCGCGTTTACAATCGTCATTCCCGTTTTGCCACAAATATAGAATGTATTTCTTCTTGACATATAAAAAATCCCCCTTTTGGATTCAGAACCTTCAATTCGAAGAAAAGGTGGACTTTCAAGTATTTCCCAGCGTGTCTTTTCATATTCTATATTCTGGGTGAAACGGGTTATTCCTTTAGCTTTTGGTCATTTCTTCCATATCATCTCCTGTTAACTTGATCATGTCGTCCAAACATATACATGATCAAGCAGGTTAACAAGATTACCTTCCGCTTTGAGGTAACAAAGTGCTATAAAAGTATGTGATCAGAATTTGGCTCTGTTTTGGAATTCCAAATATCCTTTCCTTCACTGCTTTTGGGTAAATTTACCAACCAAGGTCTCTAGGTGATTCTGCTTAGTTCTATAAAAAAGCATTTCTTTAACCGAAAAAAGGGAATTTACCTCCCACTTTTAGGTAATTGCGTCTATTGAATCCTGTGGAGATTCCATATAAACCTCTTCTTTCAGCGTCTCCCAGGTGCTGTAAAAGCATTTATATCACATTCAAACTGTGAAGTGGCCATCCCTTGTTTGCTGCTATCGAGGCAATTACCCTGGATAGTGTCAATTTTGCTACCGTTTGAAAAGTCCTCTGAGTAATCATGTCATAGTTTGGGTATATCCTTTTTGCACTTAACCGAGCCTTGTACTTTCAATGGAAACCATCTGGTTTATGCTTTGATTGTGATAGACCCAAGCGACACCCAACTGTTTCTTTTCCTGTACGGTTAAAGGACATTCTCCATGTGTGGTTTTGGATTAAGGAGCTTCATTTCTTCTTTCATTGCATTGGTCTCCATTTTCTGAATTCAAGGCATTCTTTTTCTACTTGTGGTTTGAATCAGGAGTTCATTTTTCATTCACCAAACCGAGCTGAGAAAATGCCTTTGGCTTCTTTGGTTAAACTTTCAATGGAACCATCTGGCTTATGCTTTATTGTGAAGACCCAGCGACACCCAACTGGTTTCTTTCCTGTCGGTAAAGCACATTTCTCCCATGTGTGGTTTTGGATTAAAGCATTCATTTCTTCTTTCATTGCATTGGTCCATTTTTCTGATGTCAAGGCACGTTCTACTGTGGTCGGGATCTTTTCTTCACACAGAGCTGAGATAAATGCCTTGGCTTCTTTGGATAAACTCCCCCTGGCTATGTTTGCTACTGGGTATCTAGACTTTCGAGATTCTTTTTCTGGAGAGTATCTGTTAGGTGGAACTCCCCTATTGCTTCTTGGTGTTAATACATATCGTTCTTCCTGTTCTGCCACCTGTTCTGCGACAGTCTCACAGTCACTGGAATTAGTAGAAACAACAGGAGACTCGGGGATTTCAGGTTCTCTTACCTCGCACACCAGGTTAGGAATAATATTTTCTAAGACACTAGGCTCCGTAGACTGTATGGACGTATCTGAAGTTGGCCCAACAATACTGTGCTTTTCCTGCTCTCTGCTTCCTTGCTGTTTTGTAACTTGTGGGTTCTCTTCCAGAGGATCCAAATCCACCTGTGAGGCCACTGGTTCTGGAAGCCAACTCAGTGTGTCCATATATTCCTTCTCCCCCTAACCACTGAGTTGGGTGGTATAAAAATATTCGGTTTCAAGGAAATCACAATTCATTGTGGTGAACATACGGCTGATTTTAGGATTATAGCATCGGTACCCTTTTTTATTAACCCCTTACCAACAAATACACATTTTTCGGCACAAGGGGCAAATTTAGATCGTTCATTTTTTGGAATATGAACAAAGACAGAACAACCAAAAATGCATGGTTGGAGAGTTAAGGTCGGAGGAATTTTGGTAAATTGGGCCAAGGTTTGAAGTGGAGTTTGAAGGTCAAGGATTTTGGTTGGGAGTCTATTTAGAAGATAGGTGGCAGTAGCTACAACTTCAGGCAAAAAGGTTTTACGGACCCAAGACTCAATAAGAAGAGCTCGAGTCATTTCAAGGAGAATCCGGTTTTTTCGTTCGGCAACACCATTTTGTTTAGGAGTATGAGGACAAGTAGTTTGATGTACTAACCCTCTTTGTTGGAAAAATTGTTTCATGGTGGTGTTGACAAATTCCCCCCCATTGTCGGATCTTAAAATTTGAATTGTCTTAGTAAATTGGGTTTGGATCATGGTATAAAACAAGATAAATTTATCAACAACCTTTGACTTGTTTTTCAGAAAATATACCCACGTCATGCGAGTACAATCATCCACAAATATCAAAAAATAACAAAAACCGTTTCCTCCCATGACAGGTGCTGGACCCCACACATCAGAATGGACTAACGAAAATCTGCCCTAGTATTATTTGGCCTGAAAGTTTGTCTATGGATTTTTGCCAAAACACAAGTCTCACAATGCAAAATTTTATTGGATTTAAAGAGTTTAGGAAATAAAAGATGTAAATAACCCGTGGATGGATGTCCTAATCTCCGGTGTTAAAGCCAAGCTTCGCGATCTGCAATTGCATGTACTAGTGATATGTCAATAGACCCGGCCCCCTCTATAGGAACCATTTCCCCATTGGCTGCTCCGACATGTGCCTTGGTGGGTTTGGACTGTTTTTTAATATCGTTGGCATCGAATGTCATGGTGTCGGTGGCTGCACAATTAAAAATCCATGATGCATTCTTACTTTTATCAAAATTCTAGACCATATTTGCAATAGATAAAGATTTTGGGTCTATTTGTAATAATTCTAGGGCAGAAATTAATTGG